CACCAGCCAAAAAAAAACAACCTGAAACAACTCTGTTAAGGAGGTCATTTGCCAGAAGAGCCACACCTACTGAGCCATAGCCACACGTCTGTTACAACATCCCTACAGGATGCACACAGGCATGCCATCAAACCACTCTCACTGTGGATCCCAAAAAAAAAAAACATTTGCATAGAGAGCATTTCCAGGGAGGCATGCTGGGTAGGATTAGTGCTCCTCTTCCTCTAGCGTGTCGGAGTGAGCAGTGACCCGATGAAAATGTGTGCGCTAGGAAGTTTAGAGCTATGAACTGTGGGATACGGAGGAGCGTGGCCATCTGGAAACGCAGTGACATGAAGGTGTTTATGAGAGACTGGGGGGAACAGAGAGCCACAACCTATTTCGTCTCGTTTTGTTGTACAGAAGCCACTGATCCAGTGCGTTGTTGTTAAAAGGCTGGTTTGGGACCCGAAGGAAGCAGATTTAAATTAGTCAATAAATTGGTTTCAGGGAAAATAATATCCAAAGCTCAAATAGAAGACAAGAAAATAAGCGAAGATTACAAGGTGGATATTTAAAAACACGGCATGTTCTGCAAAATCCGGCTAAAGGAAATCAATTGTTCATATCATAAGCAAAGGGGAATAAATTACATTTGTTTAAAATACAAAACTCAAGGCCAATGGCGTAACATCATCACCCACATAATGACCCAGTCAGTCAATCACAGACATCATTTGCTTTGAGCTTACCTTGCGAAACGGTCCATATATTGTTGGTACAGTGAACAGTAGCACTGCTGAAAAAGAACCGCTAACCTTGGAGACATATGGTAATCCAGCAGCATTAAAAAATGTTCACTTTGCATTAGGGGTAACAAATACAACTCTGATAAGGCTGCATGAGAGTAATCTGTAAACAGGGAGACTTCCATCCAAGGAGATACAATTATAAACAGCATGATTTGAGAATATGCATGCATTGTTTACTTTGAATCCCTTGAGGCCATGTAGGCAATTTGAATATGACACAGGAAAAAGCTGACTCTGCTAGAAAGAATGGAAACTAGTATGAAAAGATGGATTCACGTTGAATGGCTATTACTGTAAAAAACGGGGGGAAAGGCATCTGCAAATGGTTTCAAAAATGAGATTTTTTATTATGTAAATGTCATGTTCAGGGTCACACAACTGAAATACCCATACAGAGAACACAGACAAAGACTGAAGAAAATAGCTGTTTGGACCAAAAAAGTAGCCACGGTATTTAGTTAATCGGCTAATCACTATGGTACTTTACAGATTCCGTAAACACATGGCGGCACCAACAACATCAGCTTGGATTTTGATGCTTACCATTTTAATATCCTGTTCTACTCGTTATGACAAACAGCATTGTGTTCCCAAAATTGAACGGTAGAGAATTAACTAATGCTTGCTCCAAGGCATTCATTTACTTTTTTTGCATTTGTTTCATTAAGTCTTGACATAATTGATCAAAAATGTTTTTTAAAGTCCATTAACTTTTAGCCTGAGGCCAGACAAAACAGACACACTTAACACAAATGTGATTATCAGCTGCTGCTGCCAATTTAAATAAGAGACAGTGCTGTTAATCAAACTGTGTAAAATAATAAAAACCAAAAGCATGGATCAACAGGGTTCAGCAAAATTACATTTTGAACAAATAAAGGCAAACTTTAATATCATGGTGAGACTTCAAAACACATTAAAACAGTTTGGTGTGATAGCTTTGCAAAGCTGTAAAAGTGATGAAGCTAAAGGCAGCCTTTTTATTGACAGGCCTCATAAATCAAGAGTTGCCATGTCTGAGTTCTCCCTACCGTATGCTCCCACTTATTCACATTCTTGCTCTGTGCTTCCAAGTACAAAATACTTTTTTCTCCATATCATTTCTGGTAGTGTTGCATATTTCCCCCCCACTCCTCTTGTATGCCCTTCGCCCCTCTCTCATGTCCTTTTTTCACAAGCATCTTCAGTGAAAGTTTCCCGCCACTGTGTGAGACACATCTGCATTGCAGTGCCAAAGGGAAAGCAGCGACTGGAGAGGAAGACATGTGACGACTGGCTTGAAAGACGGAAGAGGTATGACCTGTCGTTTCCAGGAGTAATGGATGTATGAGTGACGGGATAACATCACTTCACGCATCATTTGCTACATTACACCACCGTTGTATTTTTGTACATTTGACAGAAAAAACATACCCATTTAGACGTCCAAAAATCTAATACAAACATCCATTTGTACCTCAAAGTGCTGTCACAGGGAAATCACAGAGAGGGTCATCCACCCCCACCTCCCTCCCAGGCTCGAGCCTCCCTGTTATTAATGGCGTCATCATTTTCCTCTGCTCACTCTATTTCCCTTCTGATAGCAGGGCCTGCTTCATCGTGTTCTGCCATGTTTCTGTAATTGCTCCAACAGCCTGCCTTATGCTGAGCATATCGTTTTTCGGTGTGCGGGTGCGTGTGTGTGTGCGTGCGAGCGTGTGTGTGTGTGTGTGCCCATCCAGTAGGCATGTGCGTCTTTGTAAGTGTGTGCATATGCATACATGTGTGTTGCTCTATCCCCCCACCAGGGCCGGCTGTGAGTTTGTGGGGCAGAACCGAGCCGCGGGCATGCTCCACACGGAGCGAAATGACAGCCTCCAGGCCACCATTGGTTGATGACCGTGAAAACACTTGCGGTTAACGTAAAGTGAGCGACCGGCTGTCACAGCGAGGCACGGCGCTTATGTGCAGCCCTGACAACAGCACAACGAGCCCCTCCACAGCGAGGCTCTGCAGTGCTGCAACAAACAACAAAGACAGGACAGCCCTACAATTCACAACAACAACCACTTCAGACATCTAAAGTACATAGCAAAGAGCGAGAGGAGCAAGACACAACCTCTGCTACGTATTTGTCACAGTCTTTCGGAATAAATGGGTTTTCTTTACTTCAATTCTGGTGGGCAGAAGTGAAAGCCGAGAGGGAAAACAGGGAAGCTAGTGTGTGGGAGAGAATGCCAAGATTGTCACAGATGCCAGCCAAGGTCGGATAAAGTGAGGAGTAAGTGCTTAGAGAGCTACAGGAGCAGAGGCCATCTCTGTGGAGGAGGTGTGAAGGAGTGAGTGTCCAGGCATGAGCGCCGCTGCCTGTACCCGTCATTAAATGAAGCCACTTAAAGGAAAAAGGCTCTGCTCAGAAAAGGTCAATACACGGCACTTCTGAAAAGCACTGATGGTTTAATTTAGCCATCTGGAGAATAGTTTTGTCTGTGATGGAGACACAACAAGTTTGGTAGACATTTCAATCAATCCCTCCAGCATTCACTTATTCCTGGAGATAAACTGAGAAGCAATAAATGATGTGACAACATCGCAGCGTAAGGAGGGATGATTACAGAGCAGCCATTATCATAAATCTTAACCTCTCTGTGGTTAAATCAGACTTTTTTAACCCTCTGCATTTCCTGCTGGTTCACTCTCGCTGTAACTCTGAACACACACATGCACACACACACAAACACACTTTATTATGCAGTAACATTACCAGACCCCCTTAGGCAGCTGTGCATCTCTGTATGACTGATGAGGGTAATTTCTCCCAAACAACAGAATGATCACTTTGGTGGTGTGCGCTACAGACCCTCCCCTCTCCCCCCCCCCCCCCCCCCGTCTTCCTTCTCTCCCGTTTTTTTTTTTTTGCTAACAAAAAAACACAAGAAAAAGACAGATATTTGTCACTACGTCTCCTGCGGTGTCTGGAATGGCTCTGGAGATAAATGGCTTCCGCATCCCATACATACAAATTAAAAAAAGAGAATTAATCATTCCACGGATCAAATCAATCTATAGATTCTGCCGAGCCGATACCCGGTTAAACTCTGTTAATAAAATACTTTAAAATCCAGTTCTCCCTGCTGCCAGCTGGATCTAGGACATGTGGGGACTTTTTACTTATTTTGTCCTTGATTAACATAGGGATCCAATATAATACACATGCCAGTGTGAATTATTCTCACAGTAAGGACTGGGCTGAGCCACAGTGAGTTTATACTGTCTGTGTACAACTGTGCAGCGAGAGATATACTGAGCCGAGAGTAGTTAGGACTGTCTGCTTCTCTCTCTCGGCCTCATAGGTTCAGCCTCAGTGGGTTGTCTTTACCTATTCTCCCATCTGTCAGTCACACACAAAAACAAATCCACCTGTCGGCCGGGAGACTGGGCTGAACGGGGCGAAGCCACAGCTGTCTGGGCCCGACTCGGTGCAGGATGGAGCGGGCCAGCGCCCTCCACTGGTGATGGAAAGCCTATTAAGATGCTTATTACCCCACCTGTCAGCCCCATCTCCTCACCTGCACAGATACGGCAGCCTAATGAAGACAGTCACTTTTAATACAGCACCTTAAACATGGAAGTCACGCCTCTGTGCGTTTTGTGGTCCTGGTGTCCTTGATCACAAGGGCTCTCCAGCCCTTGTGACAATATAACAATTCAAGCGTTGAGAGACAGGCATTCATACCGCGCCACTTGATTGCCTCAACAATGAAGCTATTAATGCTGCATTATGTAAATCGTACAAACATCTAATAGGATAAAGGCTAAGTACAGTGCAATTTAATGCTGGTGACTTTCAGTGGCTGTTTGAATGATGTTTTCAATTATAACAGAGCTAATTTAATTCATTGTTTCGTAGCTGAAAATGCATTTTTAAAGCTCGACTGAATCTCTATTTCAGAACTCAGGTTTAATCAGTCATGTACATTGAACACTGGAACGTCCTCTAAAGAGATTGACAAAGTTGCCGGGGATCTGCGTTCTAGGTTTTAAAGGGACAAAGTAAGCCTGCACTTCTCTTTTTCCTCAGACGGCAGGCTTCAGTCGAGGAGGGGAGGGTGTTCATCTAAAAGATGAAAAGACCTGCGCCTTTAAGAGGGCTGTCTCCCCCTTTCCCTCATGCTCCCCCTCAACCACACAGACACTCCTCCTGTGAGCATTTGTGAGGCAGCTCCTGTCCCTTATGTCTCTTTGTGGGGAACAGAACATACTTCCCAGAGCATCACTGGAGACAAGACAGAGCTCTAGGGAGGACAGCCCAGGTGCAGACCTCCAAGCAACCCTGGCCTATACTGTGGATGCCAAGAAGAGAACAAGGAGAGGAGACGCACACCAACTCAAGCTGGAGTAAAACAAGCAGAGGTCCAAAACAGGAGGTGGACTTTAACAGCTGGACGAGAAGTCAATTTTGAGTTAAATGCGACATGATCATCTGATAAAAATCAACAGCGCTGGACCGGATCACTAAGAAAAAGGTGGAGTCTTAATTTGAGCTTTTAGTTTTTCTTTAGAAAAGTTTTCTTAAAGAAGAATCAACAAAGTACTCCATGTGACTATAAGGATAAAATAACCATCTGAAATATATACAAACGACGGATAGAGAATAATTTATCAATTTCTTTTTTTCAATCTCTCCAAGGCAATTTTAAACGTATGGTATGAAATTGAGATTCCCTTTAAAGAACATCTTCAATGGTCCCGACAGTGCTTTTAATTCAGCAGCCGGGCGTTTATCTTATTTCTCCAGCTCTTTCTGAGAGGGAGCTTTAAAGACTTCATTGATAGTGCTCTTGGGGAGCGGTTAATAATTCTTATGTGAAGTCTTGAAACTTTACAGCTGTTGACTGGAGGGAGAGGAAAGTGCTACATGCATAAGAAAATTATGACGACCTGCTTTCCATGCGGGGAGAGTGTGTTTCTGGACTAACATTGCGGTGGAGCATTGAAGACAGAAGACATGTTCACCGGGTGTGGAATGATCACTGGCCAGAACCAGTACCTGATCCGAGACGCTGTCAGGCCCCTTCCCGGACTAGAGGTGAGCCGACCGATCCAAATTGAGCATGGGTTACCTTCAGGGAGCTTCCCCGTCTACCATAACCAGACTTATAGCAACGTCGCCCAGCCAGCAGTGATCAACAATGTTTCCATCCCGCTGAAACCAGTGCCACTGCCAGTCCCTCCCCCTGCACTCAAACTAGGACAGGAGGGGTTTAAGAAAGTCTGCCGAACTGAGGAGGATAGCCCCTGCCCGTTCCCAGGGCTGGCCTCTGGGGTGCTGGAGATGCGCGTGAAGGAGGGAAGTAAGATCCGCAACTTAATGGGATTTGCCATGGCACGAATGCAGGGAGAGAAGGGCATAAGTGGGGGAGGTGTGAGCGGTGGTGGGCTCAGGCAGGTGGTCTTCACTGGGTCAGGCCGCGCCGTCACAAAGACCATCACTTGTGCTGAAATCATGAAACGAAAAGTGGGCTCTCTGCACCAGCTGACCAAACTGCAATACAAGGTGGTGAAAGAGGTGTGGGAGAGCAGCGAGGAGGGGGCATCGGAGATGACCGTGCACAGGACCGTGCCCTCCATCAGCATCCTTCTTTCCAAAGACCCGCTGGATCCCCAGGAGCCGGGGTATCAGCCTCCAGAGGCTATCAGTGCATTGTGGGAGGAGAGAGAGGGCGTTGAATCTGCCCCGCAGACATCATGCAAGAGAACACTTGGACCTTTGCCATACAGCAGTTTCCCTCACTGTAAGAGAGTGTGTTTGGGGGAAGGAGTCTCAGTCCACGCTCCTCACTGACTGGCTGAACCGGTGTCAAACAGTGGAGAGGAGGATTGTATCAGAGGAGTTCATTTGGCGCTGCCCTCCATTCAAGCACAATGCTGAGACAATCAGAACACTCACTCAGACAGAACAGTGCTTTCTCAGAAGATCTGAGTACCAACTCCAGCCTCCAGAGGTCAGTTTGACTGGGACTCGAAAGCTTGCCTCTGTACACACAGCATTTAAGGGATGTGTTTCCAAGCACGTCCAACATGGTCTCTCACATCCACATAATAGTGATGTGTGCTACCGTGTTATCAAATCTCTCAGATCGACATCCCATTTCACACCAACAAAAGAAGAAGCCATGAATCGCACAGGTTCCAGATTCCTGCTTGCAGTAAACTAAATGTTTTTGTTAGCTCCATGTTGCAATCATTCTTATTCCTACATGCTTAAGTGTAGCGTTTAAAAATACACAAGATATATATAAGTAAATAAAATAAAAAAGCTTAAAGCCATTGATGGTATGACAAATGCAAAACATATCAATTTTATTTGTCGGATATATTAACTCTTATGAAAACAGAATTCAATAAATTGTTTGTTTTTTTCCAATGGATATGTTGTTTTGTATTTAATCTTTCTTACTCGCACATCATGGAATTCGCAATGCTCTGATTGAACAGAAAATCACAGAGTGCAGATTATTTGATAAGAATAACAGCAGTGAAATTTGTCTGTAGAAAAAGCTGATTTAATGACAAAGCTGTTGATAAGGCAGGGCTCCTAACCCAACTCGGTCTGACAGAAATGCCTCGGGAAGAAATACAGGCAGAGATTATCATTAAGATAACAACATAACATCACACAACACAGTGGAGAAAAGGATTAAAACTAGGCATGACAGAGTTTCGCAATACACTGTTCCTGCTAAATATATGAAACCAAGGCAACACAATATACTCCTCTTCCTTTCTGTGAATAGGCCTACCCACCCACCATATATATTGTATTGTACAGTATACATCTTCCGCTATAATCTCCCTTTTATAAAGAAAAATAATAAACAATGTGGTCCTAAGTTTTCACAGCAACATTATAAAGGTACTGTAGTTGACTGACATTATCAATTAAATGGTTGCAGAGTTTGACAGTGTTGATGATTGCTGAAGCTTAACTGAACGCTCCGTCATCTATGGCAATTGGATCAAATGTAACTCCATGCAGAATGCACAGCGCGAGAAAGAAAAAAAAAATACAGCTGGCAGCACCCGTATTGAATTTTATGCATTAAAGATTTCGACATATACTTCTTAAAAAGTTGTCGTAAACATTAAACACAAAATAAACCTTCCAGAGAATTGTTTAATTTAAATAGTTAGGAGCTTTTTCCACTTAATCAACCATGGCTTCTGGGGATAATAACTTAGACAAGTGGAACCTTGTCTGAGGCTTTTACTGTTGATCTTAATGAAAATCTGCAGACGCAGATGTCTGCCCCCTGAAGTAAATTAATCAAAGTGACTCTTAACTGGGGATAATTCTGTTTCAGCTTCAAAAGGAGCGAGAAAAAGAAAGTTCACTTCCTTGGAATCAGCGTTCAAATTCATCTTTCAAAAGAATACAAATCGTAATATTTCATATAATGGTCAGCCAGAATTTAACAGTGTAAGGCGGACACAGTGATTAACCTCCCTCTCGATCCCATTAAATGAATCAGAGCACAGCCGAGCACCCAAGGTTGAATAAGAAATGCTGCGACTGCAATACAGCACATATGTAGCAAACTGTGTGTCCTCGAGACTGCTAGAAGGTTATCACTCCGGGTCGTTGTTATCACAGAGTTAACAGCTTTCACCCGAGAGCCTTTGGGACAGTCAGTCTGCGATGCGGGTCAAAAAGATAATACCGCTATAAGTAAATTTCAAATCGACCTGCATCTGTTATCAAGCATTAAGAATTCTGGGCCAAGTGTAAAATGCAGTGGGGGTAATTACGGATAACGGCATAGCGTACCTGAGTGAAGGAATAGATAAAACATACTGACAAAAGCATTATCCCCAGCTAAATCCATTGTGGCTGGCACGAAATAGCATGCTGGAGGAGTCAACAAGGTGCATTATAGGAGTGTGGACAAGGTTATTCACAAGCTGGGAATCCATTTTGCCAATATTCTTTGTTTTGAAAGATGTAGTCAAGGTGGATTTAAAGGATATAAAGGCATGGGCCTAAAATTCACCATTGGTTTATTTTGTATTTTATATCTGCAGTAGATTTAGAGTGTGTCAAATGTTTCAAACACCTCGGATTGAAGCAAGTAAAGTCTTGATTGCCCTCACTTTCAACCATGAAGAAGATACACATAAAGATTATTTGTGTGGGTGCAACTCCAGAGACTAGTGATGCTTATGTCCCCCTACTGAGTATATAGGATTTCTGTAGAAATGTACATTGTCTGTGTGGTTATTGTTATGGGAGCAGTTTTTTAAGTTACATCGAAATGTAGAATGAATGACATTGTTTTAAATGGTAACGCGAAGATGTATTTTTACTTGATATCTTAAATAGTTATTCAGTTTTTAAATCATTAATAAAGGACAGCTATGTTTAGACTGAGCAATCACAGTTATCTATAGTGGTGGGACAACAGAACTGTTGTGTTTACCAAAGCCAATAACTACATGCAGTGAATGTGAATAAATTCATTCTGAAGTTAACATAATGAAAGTGTTGGCACTCCATTTTTCTCTTCTCCGCCACTGCAGCAGATGAGAGTGAGGTCTCTGGGATGGTGTGGGAGTTCGCTATCTCCCAGCCTCCAGATGGCTCCGTCTTCTCTTATCTAGAAGAATGGGTGCTGCCTCAATTTTTCAACTCGCCTTATCAGGAAATTCTTTAAATTGAATATTTACTGGGCCTATGTTTTCTGCCTATGTTAGCCCTCTGAAGTTGACATTCCTCTTGCTTGTCGAGACAGGCCGAAAGGTTTTTTTCTCACTCATACACTCCCTTTGTCTGCCTTGTCAAGTAATGGGGCAGTGATTGATTATGTGATTGTCAGGAGAGAATGGAAGGTTAAGCAGTTAAGCAGAGAGCAGTGGAGACATATTAACGAATGGCCATAGAGGGAATTTGTTTTACAATAGAGAGACGCACATTACCCAAACATGACATCAGGCAGACCTCCATTTTATGTCAGGAGTAAAATAGAGCAAATTAATCACTTTCCCAGCAGTCCATTGTTCCTGCACTAGAGGTTAAGAGAACACTTAAGCAGCTATTGAAAACATCTTATTGCAATAAGACTGGCTGTGGTCTATCAGCATAAACAAGCCGTGCCATAGCTATACTCCCTGGTAAGTGTTTGGAAATGTCTTTTCAAAACCATTTTGAGAAATGCCTCCATGTTGGATTAATCAGCAGAGCCGAGGATGTAATTGCTGTGCTGGAGTCAAAGCTGTAAGAGCAGATAATGAACACGGACTAGAGGGCTGCCAGAAATGAGAAGTTCAGGGAACAAAATGTCTTCAGCATCCTTTCAAAAGCCCTTACAGAAAATGAGGGCACACAGTATTGTCATTAACCACAGAAAAGCAAAAGGAAATCACCTATGACTAAGTGGTTACTAACATGGAATAGTAATGGCCTGTGCATTGTGGTGTTTATTCAAAAAGAGAATGGCAAAACATGAGTGCAAAATTAACATTTCCTTTAAGGCTTTTATCAAACTATTTAAAAAAAAGTATATACAGTTACATTAATGCGTCTGTGAGTACTGTTTTTTAATAAAAAGTAATTGAAGGATGGGCTGTTCCAAAATGTGAAGAAAACCAAAAATAGTTGTTATTTTTTTTCTGAGTGTTGCTGCCCTCTGGTGGAGAAATAAGCTCAAAGTCAAATACAGAAACACCTCTTTGCTCAAGGATGCTATTATACTCGACAGAAATATATCGCCCTGTAGACCAGAGGGATTGCAAAACAAAGCTAAATGGCCACAGAATAGATTAGTATCTGTATTTCTTTATCCTACTATAACAGCATTCACAACGAGAAAATGTCCAGGCTGTGGGCAGTATTATTGTCTGTCAAATAGTAAATTACAATCTAAATGCTATCCCATTGTTACATTGTCTTTCTCCTACAAGTGTAAATATTACACTCTTTTATCAGCATGACCTCCCGCCCACAATAATAAGGGATTCAGATCAAATTAGCTTAACCCATTTGAAGTATAAATGAGGTCTTCTAAAAAGCACTAACGATAAAAAGGTACTGGCTGTACTGTACAGTCTGATATTTGTAAAATAAACTTAGTTTACGGAAAGACAACCACGCACGCACATACTGCTGAAACGGAAAAAAACAATATGCAAGGGAGATGCACATGAAAAAATGGTTCTCTATGACCTCCAAGGTAAACTTCTGCACTTGTACAATGTAGGGAAAATTGATTTTGCTGTGATTAATATGGTGACCGAACTGCTTTAATATACTGGCTGTGTTCAGAGGTGAAAACCAACCAAGTATAAGGTGCAGTGCTCTAGGCTTGCATATTAACATTCCTCAGTGTTCTCCGCAGTACTGATAGAGTGATGAACAGCCGCTGCCTCTCCGTGTTATCGCTGTAATTGGATGCCTCTTTCCACTGCGATCAATATATTGTGTTTTCCTTGAAAAGAAGGCACCGTGGTTTTCTTAAGCATTACCTTAGGAACAGCAAAGGACTTAACATCTCTTTACAGACTACCCTACAACCATGCATACACAGACTAACTGCTGGTATTATAACCTTTGGTTTTAAGTTAACAGGTATTAGAAGTGCACAGACTGAATAGTTTATCAATGGTATATGTATAACAATCAATGAACCACTCAACCATGCCTAACAAGTAGAAACCAAAAAGAGGATGTTTTTATTGTTCAGATTATTAGGTTGAGAATTGTGTTTTAGGGGGATAATCTGACTTGTAATCAAATGTATATTACTATCATAGCACAGCTTATAATCAGGCCATATCAGACTTGAAGTAATAGTCTTTTATTGTTAGGCTATTCTCAATATTTGTATATGTTTAGCCTATTTTAGTTTCAAATGTTTAATATCAACCCTAACCTACCTTATTTGTTTGTGTAATTTTCATGTCATTAAGTAGCTGGTGTAACACAGAAATGTTGTTTGGGGGTAGCTTCGTGCTTCTATCAAAACAGACAGCATTTCTGATTAATGATGATGTTTTTGAGGTAAAAGAATATCCAGTGTTAATCACAAAATATATAGAAGCCTAATCACATGACAAGTGAAGTATTTTATAAAAAATGTAAGGTAATAGATGTAGCTCCAATAAATGGTATGGGACATTTGATATAATACCAAGATACATTTGAATCTTCTCAACATTTAAATTAACAATGAATATATTTTGACCTGCCTTTCTGAAGCTGACTATAGCTAGGCCAATTTTGACATGCAGTGAAGCGGCCATCAATCATTTTATTTTATAAACTAATATTTTACAAAGTAGCAAAGCTAAAGTTACACAATTGATATCAGTGGTTAAAATCACCCGTGACAAGTGGCATTACACGATTGAGTCGTCCTTTCTTTCCTCAGGTCTATTCCAAGTGCTTCTCCGTAGTGCCATCTCTGGACTTTCATCACAGGTTTTAAAGAAAAACATAATTATTTAGAAAAACAATTTTCTGAAGTCAGCTGATGAAAATTACGGAAAACAAAAACAGCAGCCAGCTACACAACGTGAGGGATTTTTATCATCCTATGTTGCCAGACAATTCTAAACCAAGATTGACAATACGACTAAATGATTTGGTTAATTTGAATTCAAACAGTGCCAGCAGGGGGTCCACTCCGCGCAGCGGGGGGATTGGTAGAGTAATATCAACACCGTTGTGATTACTCCATTGAAGCAGTAGGCAGCTCCAATCAGAACCGAATCACTCCCCTCATTACAGACTACAAGGCCAGATCTCAGTAGGAGGACCACAGAATCAGGCTTAACATCTTCCAACTGAAATTAATTGAAATTCATTTGTGGCACCCTGATGTTCCCCATCAACGCAGACTCATTTACATCTGCAGAATCCACCTCGGACTCATTAAGCGTGAGCCCATTTCAGGCTTAAAAGCGTGTAAGAGCAGAGTTTGTATTCTGTGGTCTGGACCTTGGTATTCAGAGCAGATAGTAAGAGGCAGAGCACTGTATCAGATGTATCTTTCCAGGAACGATTCTTGTTAAGGAAAAGCAAAGTAATCTGACCAGGTACATGTACCGCTCCAGTGGAGGGGCACCTGCATTTATTGACACTTATTCTCTTGCTTATCTCGTCTCTTGCAGCAAATAGTGACAGGTCTGGGCAATATAGATAATATGTATATTGTGATAGACATACTTTACATCGTCTTAAATTATATCTTAGAATAAGTGTCATCTTTTCCTGGTTTTAAAGCCTTCGTTACAGTGAAGAGATTTCATGTTAAGACCAAAACAAGCTGTTCTGTTGTTTTCTTTTACACACTAAGTTATTAAACCCACAACAGATAATTATTTATCAAAAAGCTCATTGTGTAAGTATGTTGTGAAAGCATCAACAGTCAACCTTAAAATGTATGAAATATGCAATATCACAATCAAGGTATTAAAAAAGAAAAAATCTCACAATCTGCCAACCCTAGTGAAAACCTATAACATATCATTAACATATGTATATCAGATGCAACTCATGTATTTGCACTTGTGGTTTTGTTCAAGCCACAGCGATCATGCCGAGTCCAAGGAATGGCAACTATGGTAGGAATTATTGTCTGCCTGCTACATTTACTACGTTAACAGATGTAATGACCAGCATGCCTTTATTATACATGACAAACTCTCATACCACATGCCAAATAGTTACCATCCTTGTTTTCCACCACATTCCTAAAAGTCCACATGAGCTGTTTGCTATAATGTCACACAACACGCACCATCAATCCACAGGCATGCTTTCCTATCTCCAAAGCGAACCAAAGTACTCTTCAAGCGGAAAAAACAATTATCACAAACACATTACGAGCTAATTCACTATTCCCACCTCTACTCTTAGAAACGATTAAGACCTCCTCTACTGCTTCGCTAAAGAACCAAACAAATACAAAAATGATGTGCCATACAAATTTCAATAAGTACTTGCTGATCTGTAGATGTTAATCACAGTCTATTGGGGCAATTAATAAACAGCTCATAGCATTCAATAATAATCAAAAAGCACTCTTACCTCATGATCTTGTTCCTGCCCTGTTTTGTTGTGAGCTCCAAAAGCCAAACGGTGAGTATTGGACTAAGTCCTTCAGGTTTTTGGGATTCCTAAAATGGGAAAACATTGACACTATCAGAAAAAAAGGCCCAGCAGCATCCAATGGACTTTCTAACCCACGAGTTTAAATAAATAAAAAACGTTGTTTTAAAATCTAGAATAGTTTTGCTGTTGCTCAGATAACTCAATATTGCCCACTATTATGTATAATTGAGCAAGCAAAAATACCTGAACATTATTTAACAACGCTTACCCCTGATTTGAGTACTTTGGGATTCCTCACACCTCTTTCAATGCAGCTGTAAGAAAACCAAACGAGTTGTTTTTAAATTTGCTAATTTGCGGCAAAAGGACTGTAGGCCGGATATGACGTAGCTAGCTTGTGGGCATCAGCAACATATACGTTTTTAGTTATTATCAGTTTTATTTATCAGTCTTTGTTCTTTTACACATTTTGTATATTTGCTTAAGAGTGTTCAACTGTATATTTGGTCTTACTTGTATCACTTTCCAAGGTATTTGCACTGGCTTCACTTCTGCCTGCCATGTTTTCGCGCAATTTCCTGTAAAGGTAGCGTCACCGTAGAAAGTACAGCGGTCTTGAGATATATGAGTATGGACCACCATGGTATGGACATATGGACATAGATTTATTTTTATTTTTTTGTACAGTTAATATGATTGTTGGGGGAAAGTGTCATATTCATAAAAAGCGATGGGCTGACTTCAAACCTCATTTAGAAAAATATTTATCAAGAATTAACACAATATAGTAGCACTATTAAAAACGATATGAATAAAAAGGCAATCAAAATTATGGTGCATTTAATAATTATTGAATCTGAAATATGAAACTGTATATATTTGTACATTTGTATTAAACTGTATATATTTACTCTATGTCTAACCCTTCTGTATACAACGTATATGATGTTCTTGAATAAACAAGAAATAAAACAATTTGCCCAGTTGATTTTGACGTATACTAGCTTCCAACTACTCAGTCTTTGTTTGTTGTAAAATAATATAAATCTTTATAAACATGAACAGTAACTCTGTGTACATCTAAAACACAGATTACAAGGCAGTAAGTGGGCAATTGTCCTTTTATGGTAGCGATAACATTATTTGCCCAACAGATGGCAACATCAAATCCACAGGTCTCCATGGTGCATTCAAAAGCTCCTCGTAAATCCTTACATCGTATTGCAACGCAGTGAAATAAATAAGTAAATGAATAAAACTGCAATTGAAAAATATAAAAAACGAAATATGTACTTGTTCCCAACAGTTTAATTGTATAGCTTCTATAGAGCCACCTGTTTTCTGATTTGTAATTATCGTTTGTTACAGTCACTGCAACACTATAGATTTTTAAATAAAGAAGGGGCGATGATTAGTCCATTTAGAGATACTGCTTTTTCTACTGTCAATATCATATGTATCTATTAGCTAAGCACATACTTTGTTACAGGTAAACACGTCGGAATAACACTCAAACTTTATGAATGCGTATTATTTTTGCGTGGACTTGAACGCAGCACTGAGTACATCTGCTTGTGTTTTGTTTTACTAGGGTGGAGACCTGGAAAGTTCACACTGTTTGAATGCAGTTGTTGAACAAGCTCCTTTAAAACGTCCTGGCATGTAAGTTAATTATTTTTGTTGTATATATTATATAGTTTCCCGCTATTATATAGATATACATATTATTGTAAATGAACATGCATCATTGCTTTATTTTCCAGTGGGTGTTTTCAGGTATTTTACATACTGTGTTTGTGTGGTCTTACTGTGTTTTCGTAATAATAAATAGTGAGTACACATACATTCATACAATGAAAAGGAGTTTGATCTCATCAGTATAGTGTAATCTAACAAGTGGGACTTCAAACTACATGAGATGTGAAGCAGTACTTTTTATAAGATGCTGTAATGTTGTATTTCCAGCTGCTATTGTAATGTGTTATAGCAGGGTTGCCAACTTTGGGTACCTGGCTGGAGTGAGATTTTGAGATCATGGGTTTAATTACACATATGCGCACTAAATGACTGCTATCGTGTCAGTAGCGGGACCTTAGCATATATATATATGATATATATACAATATATACAAATACACAATATTGGACACAGACTATAAAGGGCACAAAGTTTCATTCACTAATGAAAGTCAAACACATGTTTGTTTCCACTGTTTTATTGTGTGCATAGGCCTGTCGCGATAAGCAATTCATTGACTTATCGTACGATAAACAAAAATGAACTCCATAACTTTTCTGACCTCCATAAATTGCCATTTACATGAGGATGTGACTAGCAGTTTGAAAGGATGTACTTGAATTATTATTATATATTATCATTATGTCAGTGGTCTAAAATGGTCATACAACGGTGCCGACGATATTATCGTTTATCGCAATAATTTCCGGGAAAATGTATCCAACAAAATTAATTATCATGAGAGGCCTATACATGAAACACAAACACATCTACAGACTTACTCCAAACTGCCAAATATATTAATTAACGCACTCTCACTCTCATATACTCTTTGACTCTATTTTTGGCCTAGTAGAACAATAACCAGCAGACTTTTACTTTTTATAATTTCTACTGGATCTTAGATCTGCGCATGCGCAATACGGGTTGGGGATTGACCAACCGGCTCCCACTGCTCTGCTGTCTGTTAACGTGGTGGTGGGGGCGGGGAGGGAGCGGATCGTTACCGCCGGGCCAGATACTCAACGTTGTAAATAACCAACCAAAAACGATCGCCGGTTCATCTTGTTTTTGGCGTGAGAATAGTTTGGGCAGCGTGAGAGCGTGAGATTGAGAGTGAAAGCGTGTGTCACACGCCAGATGCGTGAGAGTTGGCAACCCTGGTTATAGGGCTGCTCAATTAATCGTATTTTAATCGCAATTACGATTTTGGCTTGCAACGATTATGAAAACAACATAATTGAAATAAAACGATTATTTATTTTAATTATTATTTATTTTTATTGGTTTTTCAGTTGAATTATACTTAAAGTTCAGGGTAATCAACTGTTAAAAACATCCTGTTTAAACTTTTTTTTTTCAATAAATGGATGTTTTCAAAGTAAATGGATAATCGTTTTTAATAATCGTGATATCAATTATTGACCCAAATAATCGAGATTATGATTTTTGCCATAATCGAGCAGCCCTAATGTGTTATCTGTGCAGGGAAGTTAGTTTCCTTCCTTACTAAATTATAATGCCAAAATAGACAATAGACAGCTGTGATTCTAACTGTACTGTGCTGGTGTGTTTTTCTCCTCAGAATATGCCTTCTTGGGTAACAAGTGCTCCAAGCTGATCCTGGATGAAGTCTGTGGGGCATCTGGTGGTCCTCTCCTCTCTCTGTTGTGTTATCTCTGGATACTCTGACAGAGATAGAGTACGTGACTTGATGTCCAAGTATCCTCTCATTGATGGGTAAATGCTGTATAGTTTGTGAAAGTGAATTAATGGAATAGAAAAAAGCCTTTCAATGCCCTTCCTTTTTTCTGACACCATTTCTCTCCATCTATCAGTCATAATGACCTTGCTCTTCAGCTGAGGAAACTTCACAACAATCGTCTGAGCCAAATTGACCTTCATAATGTTAGCAATGTGGCCACCGACATCAACCGTCTCCAAGCAGGCCATGTACAGACGCAGGTATTTCAATTGAATCACTCCTGACACTGATTTGTTCTAAAGTATGGATTGCTCCATATAGTACATGTTGAATAAAAGCATCTACAAAGCTGTAAAATGATCAAACCTAGAGCAGCACCTCAGTGACACTCTTGTGTCCCGTCCTCTTCCCTTTGTCAGATGTTTGCAGTCTATGTGATGTGTTGGGCCCAGGAGAAGGATGCCGTGCGGCTGGCTCTGGAACAAATAGATGTGGTCCGACGCATGTGCACTGAGTACCAGGACTTTGAGCTGGTCACATCTACCCAGGGTATAGTACACCTCAACAGGGCAATTTACAAACAGAACACTAGAGATGAAAACGTTTTTTATGTCATTTTTACAATCATGATTCAGTCTGTTTATTGTTTCAATGACTTTATACACAGACACATCATACATTCTTTGACTTATTAATCCATACTCTTAAGTTTATCTTAATTACTGTGTGGTGCATATTTGAAAAAGAGCCATGAAAGCTCTAGTTTCTGTTCATCCCCTGCCCTTCAAAGGGATCCTTGAATAAGGCACCAAACCCCCAACTACCTGGCGACCCATTTTACTCACATCTGTTTACATGTGATGTATGCAGGGGTTAAATTGGGCCGGGGCTGTCCGGGGCTCAGCCCCGGCACATATAGGATGATGCTCTGACGTCATTACCCTCGCTCATTTGTCATTTGTTTAAGCCACATGTTAAAACATCTCTCGTTCTTAATATAGACTTTATTTAGAGTCAATATGTGTTGACTTTACTTTAAAATAGCAGATCTCTGTGACAGGATATAGTTTTTCCGATTAGTGAACGTGTGTCTCTGCTCCGATCAGGAGCTGCAGCACCGTGGCTCCTTCGTGCAGAGAATCTGCAGCGGTGTGTGTGTGTGTGTGTGTGTGTGTGTGTGTGTGTGGTGTGTGTGTGTGTGTGTGTGTGTGTGTGTGTGGTGTGTGTGTGTGTGTGTGTGTGTGTGTGTGTGTGTGTGTGTGTGTGTGTGTGTGTGTGTGTGTGTGCAGAGAGTCTGCAGCGGTACTGCCAAACCCCGACCCGTCTTGTAACACGGAGCCCGTTTCCTACACCATCAGGGCCGGTTCTAACAAATGTGCTGCCCTAGGCGATATATTTGCTGGCACCCGCCCAGAGCTGCCAGCGCAGCGCCCCCCCCCCCCCCCCCCCCCAGATCTGGCGCCCTAGGCGACCGCCTATGCCAAAAACCGGCCCTGACTTAACCTAACAACTTATTTAATTTGTTATCACAATTACTAATGTCATGTTTTTTTTTAATTCTTGAAGAGAATGTCTTTTTTTCTGGCATTCTTCCAGGATTAACAAAAATAAGAATAACATTGAGAAAAATCTTTGAAGTAAATGGCTGTTGTTAAACGCTTCCCACATTTACTTCAATCGTACAGTAGAAAAGATAAAAGTATCCAAGGAATACACAATAGAATATATAAAGAATAAATGAAAAATCTCTTCATACACTACAAAAACAGAAACGTATTGACATAGGTAATATACATCAAAAAGGTTTCAAATGTATTCAGTATTGTATGAACATGTTTTAATTGGGGTGTGGACGTCACATCCTCTAGGGGGGTCTGGGGGTATTCCCCCCCGGGAAGAAATGTTTGAACATTTAAAGCAAAATGCTTCAATCTGGTGCACTTTAAGCACACATTACTAGAGATAGATCTAGGGGGTACAACTCTAAAACACCCATATGACAAAGATCGGTTTACATTTTAATAACCAAATATGTGAACATAACCAATAACCTACCACAGCCAATAACAAATACATTTAACTTATTTTTGTTGTTCATTCATATCTTATTTTACCTAGTTAACATTTATTTATGCATATTTTTTTATCTCAAGTTTTAAACGATATTTTTGGTTTACTGTCCTATAGTATACATTGAAATGATTTCAAACCTGTTTATCCAAATAATTATAAAGGAGTGCCTTGGAAATATTTGTTTACATAAATTGCATATATCTCTCTTGCTCGCTCCCACGCCCAATTTGGCTGTGAGCTGCGGACCCCTGATAAGCCAACACCCCCCACTTTCATCACTTACAGCGCCCATCGTACAGGGCAAATGAAAAGTGTAACCAGGGTGAAAAGGGTGTTACCTTGACTTAATTATGAATGGTGTTACATCAAGGCTGAAGATTAGGATGAGCGCAAACAGTCAAAAATGGTTTTTTCCCTCCCAGAGCTGCCAGCGCAGCGGCCCCCCAGATCTGGCGCCCTAGGCGACCGCCTATGTCGCCTATGCCAAAAAACGGCCATGTACACCATGCATGTTAAATGTATGTCTGCATAAAGCTGAGTTATGATCGGTCATAATAACACATAATTTGGTGATGATTAAATAGTTAACAGTGAGATTTACTCCCATACTTTTGGCCATACTCACGCAGCCCTACAAATGAATTGAGATTTCCACACAAATGTTCTTTAGCAAGTGTGCAGAGCAGTGTTGATTTAAAAAAGCAATGTGAAGGTTGGATATTTGTAAACCTTTTTTTGTGTATATATTAATAATTTAAGATGTAAATGAATTCTAGTTTATTAGTACTTTCTATTTTTATTGTGACATTTGGTGGCATCAATGTGTGTATTTGATACAGATAATGGAGCAGTTGATTTAGGGCCACAGTGTATATCCCTGAAGGTCAAATAATGAGATCCTCGACCTCCGCCCCCCTCTCGCACCTCCACGCAGAGCCCCCCCACATATCAAATCCCAATTTAACCCCTGGATGTATGTGTGTTTGTACATCAAGAAGAAAAATAACGAAAAAAAAGGCATTTATAATTATAATTATTATGAGATTTGAATCATACCTCCTTACTAACAAGTAATTAAAACAAATAAATAATTAGGTTTGTTGTACGTTTCATTCATGTGTGTTTCTGTCACTGCAGAGATTAAGCATTCTGAAATGAATCGTAAAATAGCCTGTCTGATCAGTCTTGAGGGGGGTCACTCCATCGACAGCAGCCTGCCAGCCCTGCGGATGTTTTACCAACTTGGGGTCCGCTCCATGGCGCTCACACACACCTGCAATACACCATGGTAATCAAGAGATTTATTCTTAATGCTTTATTTTACATTTAGTCTTATGTTGCAGAATTCAATGATGGCCACATGATTTAACAAACTATCTATACTATAAATACAGCAAAACAGGATCAGTGACTTGATAAGATATTCAGATTTTCAATTAAATATACTTAAGGTATAAAACACAATGTTTTCTAAGTCATTTTGTCATTTGGCTCACACCCTAACAGAACTATTCCTTACAGAAGCTTGTGTTGCTACATGTAAGATTACATATTTAGTTACAGGGTTGACTGAATGGAAAGGTCAATTACATTTCCCTCCATGCAAATTAATGTGTACTCTCTTTGAAACTTGACATTGTGTTAGTGCCCAAAGGTTGTCCTAAATGAAGCAGGACTTGGATATATTTAAAATGTTATGCAAGTGAGATAAACGCAACCCGTACAACTTCATGTTTTGTGGCTTTGACAATACTCTGTTTCGATGCAGGGCTGAATCCTCTTCAAAACTGTACAATGTCTATCAAAGACAGAACAACAGCCTGACACACTTTGGAAAGGTAAGCTTAATCTTTACTTACAGTAGATCAACAACTTGGTTTGTTTATTATATTCAACAAAGCATGTTTGCTGATTTTTGGCCTGCTTTTTCGGATGTTATTAGAGCACACCATCTGCTCTATATTTAAGATGAAGATAGAAATGACAATGATTGCTTACACAATTATTTCTTTAAGTTTTGATTCATAGTTTTGTCATTGACTGTATAGGTACTGACTAGGGTCTTTAAAGTAACCAGTCACAACATGTTAAAGTTGTAGTATATAATAGAGACACAGTAGAGTAAACTGTGTAACATACATTGGCCTCCATACATGTCATCAGGGAGTTATCAGAGTGATAAAGCTCTCTCAAAATCCAAATGCAGAGGATATGATAGCATTTTCCAGCCGCGAGACACTGAAACAGTATTGAATTGTTCCAAAGAAAGTGGACCTTGTTACCATTTAAGTTGATTAATGCGGTGCATACTAAACACTCTGTTGACAAGAGGCTGTTTACAGAGAAACTGCTGTAACCCAAATTTGACGTGCAAGCCCTTTAAACACATGTTATTTATTTATAGTTATGCTGTTGTACAATGTAAACAACTTGAAATCCCATGTTAAGAGTGCTTTTCCTATTCAGTTGACCCAACAGTCCTACATGGTGATTGTATCACCATGTAGGACTTCCCCAAGGTGTTTGCATGAGTGTGTTAATATGTATGTAACCATCTCCTGATGTTGGCCTTACTTCCTTCCCATTTTTGATCAAGTGGCTCTTGATTGTGTTTTTCCGAGGCCGTGGTGGAGGAGATGAACAGACTGGGAATGATTGTGGATCTTTCCCACACTTCTTGGGAAACGGCCTGGGCGGCGCTGAAGCATTCTAGGGCACCAGTTATTTTTAGCCATTCATCTTCCTTCTCCATCTGCAACCATGAACGTAACGTACCTGACTGGCTGCTGCAAGAGCTGGTGAGAAAACCAATTCACTGAATGATTAATCGCTTGCTTAGTTGCTTGATTAAAACGTATGAAGTCACTGATTCATTGATTGTAATTATGATTTGTATTTAAACCTCTGACAAAGAACATTCAATCTGTTTTCATTAGTGTTTTGTGTATCAAGGGGAACAAATGCAGAAAGGATTTCCACTTTTAAACAATTATTACATTTCTGCCTACTAACAGTCACTATAATTTATTCTGAATGTGCAGGGTAACAAAAGTCAACATGTCATCATTTCCTTACCCGTGTTGGCTTCCCAATAATTTCCTCTCTGGTGTCACCACATACTGAGCAAACATGAAATGCCTGTCTGGTTATGACGCACAAAGGAACTTTAGGATCTACAGTAGATTAACTTTCACTGTGTTTATTTTAGACTGTTGTAATTGGCAGTTAGTTGACTGTGTGGAGCAGTTTCCGATACAAAATTATTTTTGCAGTCGGAAAAGGTGGAAGGCCCCATCTTGGTTGTTGTAGAGTTTCTATGCTGACGTGAGTCTATGCCCTTATTCAGTGTCAGCTGTATGCACCAATGCATTTCTAAATTCTTCATTCTTCCCACTTCGTCTGCTACATTTGTTTATATGAACTGTACTTTGCTTTCAACTAAAGATTCATCTCTGTCACCTCTAGCTCTTTTTCTCCTTTGTACAACATTATGAGTTGGTCCTATCCCATGCTTCATTAATCTTCTCAGTTTGTAATGAACACAACTCGAAGAATTAATGTTAAAATACTGTAGTTAATAACATCTCCTTGTGACTCAGTCAGTACAAATGTATATGTTCTTTGAAAAAGCAGTAGTATAATTATTGAAGTATTTGCTATGCATGGAAATAGCCACTTCAGAACAGCACATCATTCTTTTTACATTACATTACATTACATTGCATTTAGCTGACGCTTTTATCCAAAGCGACTTACAATAAGTGCATTCGACCAGGAAGACACAACCTTGAAGAAAACAGAATCATATAAGTACTGGTAATCAGGTTTCATAGAGCCAAACATTTCAAGTGCTACTCAACTGGCTATAGCTAAGCCAGTCCTTTATTAGTATATAAGTGCTTTGTTAATAGTTCTATCGCTCAAAGTGGAGTCGAAAGAGATGAGTTTTCAGTCTGCGCCGGAAGATGTGCAGGCTTTCTGCTGTCCTGATTTCAATGGGGAGCTCATTCCACCATTTTGGAGCCAGGATAGCAAACCCACGTGTTTTTGCTGATGGGAACTTGGGTCCCCCTCGCAGCGAGGGTGCAGCGAGTCGTTTGGCTGATGCAGAGCGTAGTGCACGCGCTGGGGTGAACGGTTTAACCATGTCCTGGATGTAGGAAGGGCCAGATCCATTCGCAACATGGTACGCAAGTACCATTGTCTTGAAGTGGATTCTAGCAGTTACCGGAAGCCAGTGAAGGGAGCGGAGGAGCGGCGTGGTGTGGGAACATTTTGGAAGGTTGAAGACCAGACGAGCCGCTGCATTCTGGATGAGCTGCAGAGGTCGGATGGCACATGCAGGTAGACCAGCCAGGAGGGAGTTGCAGTAGTCTAGGCGTGAGATGACGAGCAGTGCTTGAATTGGAATGAAAAAGGTGCCAGTACTCTAAAATCAGCAACTTTTTCAAGTCAATTTTATATATACAGCCCACAAACAAGAATTTGGCTACTATAATGCTGGTGGGTTTGTCTCTTTACTACTGTATATTTTAGAAAGGTTCACTGTACTTAACATTTGTTATGATTGGCAGCGGATATGGCTAAAGCTCAGTAAGGTCAATATTAACTGAAAATATAGCAATCAAAGTCTAGATCTTCTGCTGAAGACACATGAAGCAGAGACCTTTCAGGTGAGAGCCCCTCTGGTGGTGTTCAACATTAATGACAAGGAAACAAAGCTCTGGTCAGAAGCATTTTTTATAAAAAGCTTTAACAAAATTAAGTATTTCTGTACATTTTGAATGCAATCTAACTTTCCAACTCAGAAAACGAAAAACGAAAAAGTGCCAAAAGTCTTCTCACATGGCTGAGCTGCTTTGCAATATACTTCACCACTGAAGAATACAAATATGTATAAAGTAAACTATGATGCAATCTAACTTTCCAACTCAGAAAAATGATAAAGAGCATGAACAAAGAACATGTAAAAACAAATGCAAAATTTGCACAATCTAAAATGAGAAACTGTAACTGCAAGTAACAAAGTCTGAGCCATGGTAAAGAGTTACATTGAACACCAAGCTGATCAGATAACTCCCTGGTTGGTCTGAAGTCCTTCTATCTCCAGGATCTGTACAAATCGGCACATTATGCCAAAAGTCTTCTCACTGGGTGAGCTGCTTTGCAATATACTTCACATTGTTAGAAAAGGCTCCAGAAGGCCTTGGGGACATCAGTATCAGGGGCTGGAGCTGGACAGGCTCTTTCATCAGCACTTCTCCTTCCCTTTGCCAGCCAGGACCTCACATACTGTTCCGGATTGAACTGTCCTAGTGATGGTCCATTACATTTAATGAAAACCAGGCTGGACAGTCGGCTGACAGAGAGAGCATTCCTTTTTGCAGTAAGGATATCGTTCATGCAGCTGAATGCCCGCTCACACTCACTAGTGGAGACAGCGATGGTTCGGACTGCTTTCAGTAGAGGCTCCATGGCAGCAGGTGTACGGGATGCCCTGGTTTCCTTGTATTCGCGAAAGCCCTGAACAGTCTCTCTTCTGTCCACTTTCAGCACTTCGCACAAACGTAGCACCTCTACGTCCCCATACTGTACGTCTAACTCCTCTTCAGGCCAACTTCCAGGATGGATAACTTTCATGTCCTGGATTAGCTGATTGTCCCGGGCCTCCCGGCCATGTAATGGGATTTCTCTTGTGCTGACATGAGAGGAGGTTGTGGAAGTCATTCTGTGTCTCAGATTCTCTACCATACTGCGGAAAAACTGACCTAAAAAGTCCTCGTTAAAATCTCTTCCAAGACACTCCATTAACGCCTTTGTGATGTCATCAGCCGTTGTTCCATCCAACTCGATCAGCTCCCAAAAAAACGTTTCGGGCTCAGCATCAGCTAATGCTGAGCGTAGACACACAACAAGCACCGTTGTACCACTAATAGTGGTAGATTCATCGACCAAAACATAGAGTTTTCTTTGGTTTTCTGTAATGTCTTTTGCCATTTTTTTCTTCAGCTCATGAGCTATGTGGTCGATGATTTCGCCACAGGTTTTATTGGAGTGCAAAACCCTGCCCACGTTCAGCCCATTCAGTTTCTGTACATTCAAATCAATTGGCATGTCTGTGAATGGCCGGCTATGTTTGCCAATTTTATATGCCGTTCGAAAAACTCTGATAGTGGGTCTAATTCAGATTTATGCATAGACTGCACTTGATGTTGAATAGTTTCACATGAAGCAGATGTAAGGATGTCAGCAGCTTTTACATGGGCTTGTGATTCTTTATGTTCTTTGATTTTTTTTCTCAGGCTAGCTTGTTGTTTGCCCTTGTCAACACCGAAATGAGACACTGCACACTCACCCCATTCAGTTGACAGTTTCAGTCCTTGTCCAGTGTGTATTCCCAAAGATTTGACATCTCTGCATATCCGACATCCTAGCTTCTTATCTTTAAGAAGGAGCCATGCATTGGTCTTGCAAAAATATTGCACCTGGTCCGTTGTCCAGCAGTCAGGTGCATCGCTTTGCCCGGTGTTGGTGGTGGCAGTTGCGCCAGCAGCAGCTAACGTTAGAGGCTCTGGAGGAGGCGGCGGAGCTAGTGCTAATGCTAATGCACTAGAACTTGGAGCAGGAGGATCAACCAAAGAAAGCTCCCCATCAGACACAATTTCCAACACAGGCACAGCATTCTCTGTATTTGAAGTTTCTTCCGGCGACAACCGCTGTCTTTTTGCACTTTTATTAATCCATGCTAACATTTTAGAAATGCTCATTTGTGACGTGACTTGCTTTCCTTCTCTCGGGGGCGTGCCTGCTCTGTTCTATCACTCTACATAGCCACCCACTGGGTGGGAGTTGCACTGCATAAACAAAACACACGTGCATCTAGGTATGTAAATTGTAAAGCATTAAAACATGGTTTTACTAACAGTTTTCAGTATGTTGTTACTTCGGCATTATTATTATTATTATTTTGAAACGTGTATTACTATTAAATCACGGTCAAATAGGTTAATTTTGACATAGTCGTTTCCACCACAGTATTTACATGGAGAAGATAAGCCCCGCCCCCTCTCCAGCACGTTCTGTTTGAATGACAGGAGTAAACAGCTGACAGCCGCTGTGAAACTCCAGCGGTTAGAGCGATGAGAATGTCCGTTCGGCACCTCATGACGCATCTACTGAGTACCGGGCGGCTGTATATATATATATATGGATGTATAATAAGAACGGCGGGAGAGTGTTGAGTACTGGCACGGTGCATGAGTACCGGAGTACCGCCAGCATGCCGGTACTGAGCAAGAAGTGCCGGTACTCCATGGGTCAGAACCAGAAGTGCCGGTACTGCGTACCGGTGAGTACCGGCCCAATTCCAGCACTGAAGAGCCTAGACCAGAACCTGCGTGGCTTTCTGGGTCAGCTGGGGACGTATCCTCCTGATGTTGTAAAGCGTGTATCTGCAGCAACGGGTTGTAGCAGCGATGTTTGCAGTGAAGGACAGGTTGTTATCTAGGGTCACACCCAGATTCCTTGCAGTCTGAGTTGGGGAAATAACAGAGGTGCCGATGTTGATTGTTAGGTCAAGAGTGGGACAATCTTTTCCCGGAAGGAAAAGCAGTTCAGTCTTGTCCAGTGCTTGAATTGGAATGAAAAAGGTGCCAGTACTCTAAAATCAGCAACTTTTTCAAGTCAATTTTATATATACAGCCCACAAACAAGAATTTGGCTACTATAATGCTGGTGGGTTTGTCTCTTTACTACTGTATATTTTAGAAAGGTTCACTGTACTTAACATTTGTTATGATTGGCAGCGGATATGGCTAAAGCTCAGTAAGGTCAATATTAACTGAAAATATAGCAATCAAAGTCTAGATCTTCTGCTGAAGACACATGAAGCAGAGACCTTTCAGGTGAGAGCCCCTCTGGTGGTGTTCAACATTAATGACAAGGAAACAAAGCTCTGGTCAGAAGCATTTTTTATAAAAAGCTTTAACAAAATTAAGTATTTCTGTACATTTTGAATGCAATCTAACTTTCCAACTCAGAAAACGAAAAACGAAAAAGTGCCAAAAGTCTTCTCACATGGCTGAGCTGCTTTGCAATATACTTCACCACTGAAGAATACAAATATGTATAAAGTAAACTATGATGCAATCTAACTTTCCAACTCAGAAAAATGATAAAGAGCATGAACAAAGAACATGTAAAAAACAAATGCAAAATTTGCACAATCTAAAATGAGAAACTGTAACTGCAAGTAACAAAGTCTGAGCCATGGTAAAGAGTTACATTGAACACCAAGCTGATCAGATAACTCCCTGGTTGGTCTGAAGTCCTTCTATCTCCAGGATCTGTACAAATCGGCACATTATGCCAAAAGTCTTCTCACTGGGTGAGCTGCTTTGCAATATACTTCACATTGTTAGAAAAGGCTCCAGAAGGCCTTGGGGACATCAGTATCAGGGGCTGGAGCTGGACAGGCTCTTTCATCAGCACTTCTCCTTCCCTTTGCCAGCCAGGACCTCACATACTGTTCCGGATTGAACTGTCCTAGTGATGGTCCATTACATTTAATGAAAACCAGGCTGGACAGTCGGCTGACAGAGAGAGCATTCCTTTTTGCAGTAAGGATATCGTTCATGCAGCTGAATGCCCGCTCACACTCACTAGTGGAGACAGCGATGGTTCGGACTGCTTTCAGTAGAGGCTCCATGGCAGCAGGTGTACGGGATGCCCTGGTTTCCTTGTATTCGCGAAAGCCCTGAACAGTCTCTCTTCTGTCCACTTTCAGCACTTCGCACAAACGTAGCACCTCTACGTCCCCATACTGTACGTCTAACTCCTCTTCAGGCCAACTTCCAGGATGGATAACTTTCATGTCCTGGATTAGCTGATTGTCCCGGGCCTCCCGGCCATGTAATGGGATTTCTCTTGTGCTGACATGAGAGGAGGTTGTGGAAGTCATTCTGTGTCTCAGATTCTCTACCATACTGCGGAAAAACTGACCTAAAAAGTCCTCGTTAAAATCTCTTCCAAGACACTCCATTAACGCCTTTGTGATGTCATCAGCCGTTGTTCCATCCAACTCGATCAGCTCCCAAAAAAACGTTTCGGGCTCAGCATCAGCTAATGCTGAGCGTAGACACACAACAAGCACCGTTTTACCACTAATAGTGGTAGATTCATCGACCAAAACACAGAGTTTTCTTTGGTTTTCTGTAATGTCTTTTGCCATTTTTTTCTTCAGCTCATGAGCTATGTGGTCGATGATTTCGCCACAGGTTTTATTGGAGTGCAAAACCCTGCCCACGTTCAGCCCATTCAGTTTCTGTACATTCAAATCAATTGGCATGTCTGTGAATGGCCGGCTATGTTTGCCAATTTTATATGCCGTTCGAAAAACTCTGATAGTGGGTCTAATTCAGATTTATGCATAGACTGCACTTGATGTTGAATAGTTTCATGTGAAGCAGATGTAAGGATGTCAGCAGCTTTTACATGGGCTTGTGATTCTTTATGTTCTTTGATTTTTTTTCTCAGGCTAGCTTGTTGTTTGCCCTTGTCAACACCGAAATGAGACACTGCACACTCACCCCATTCAGTTGACAGTTTCAGTCCTTGTCCAGTGTGTATTCCCAAAGATTTGACATCTCTGCATATCCGACATCCTAGCTTCTTATCTTTAAGAAGGAGCCATGCATTGGTCTTGCAAAAATATTGCACCTGGTCCGTTGTCCAGCAGTCAGGTGCATCGCTTTGCCCGGTGTTGGTGGTGGCAGTTGCGCCAGCAGCAGCTAACGTTAGAGGCTCTGGAGGAGGCGGTGGAGCTAGTGCTAATGCTAATGCACTAGAACTTGGAGCAGGAGGATCAACCAAAGAAAGCTCCCCATCAGACACAATTTCCAACACAGGCACAGCATTCTCTGTATTTGAAGTTTCTTCCGGCGACAACCGCTGTCTTTTTGCACTTTTATTAATCCATGCTAACATTTTAGAAATGCTCATTTGTGACGTGACTTGCTTTCCTTCTCTCGGGGGGCGTGCCTGCTCTGTTCTATCACTCTACATAGCCACCCACTGGGTGGGAGTTGCACTGCATAAACAAAACACACGTGCATCTAGGTATGTAAATTGTAAAGCATTAAAACATGGTTTTACTAACAGTTTTCAGTATGTTGTTACTTCGGCATTATTATTATTATTATTTTGAAACGTGTATTACTATTAAATCACGGTCAAATAGGTTAATTTTGACATAGTCGTTTCCACCACAGTATTTACATGGAGAAGATAAGCCCCGCCCCCTCTCCAGCACGTTCTGTTTGAATGACAGGAGTAAACAGCTGACAGCCGCTGTGAAACTCCAGCGGTTAGAGCGATGAGAATGTCCGTTCGGCACCTCATGACGCATCTACTGAGTACCGGGCGGCTGTATATATATATATATGGATGTATAATAAGAACGGCGGGAGAGTGTTGAGTACTGGCACGGTGCATGAGTACCGGAGTACCGCCAGCATGCCGGTACTGAGCAAGAAGTGCCGGTACTCCATGGGTCAGAACCAGAAGTGCCGGTACTGCGTACCGGTGAGTACCGGCCCAATTCCAGCACTGGTCTTGTCAAGGTTTAGCTTGAGGTGGTGAGCAGACATCCACTGAGAGATGTCAGCTAGACAAGCAGAGATGCGTGCGACGACCTGGGTCTCTGAGCGGGGAAAGGACAGAATTCATTGGGTGTCGTCAGCGTAGCAGTGGTATGAAAAACCATGCCGGCTAATGACTGATCCGAGCGAGTTTGTGTACAAGGAGAAGAGGAGGGGACCAAGAAGAACCCCTGTAGTTAATTGACAAGGGTCGGACTCGGACCCTCTCCAAGTTACTCTGTAGGTACGGTCTTTGAGGTATGAGGTGAGGAGGGAAAGTGCAGAGCCTGAAACTCCAAGTTTTTGGAGAGTGCGAAGGAGGATCTGATGGTTCACCGTGTCGAATGCAGCAGACAGGTCCAAAAGAACGATTCTTAATGTTGATTTCACGATGTAATTAGACACATTCACAATTAAGTTCTGGGTTGTTTGATATATAAACATGTTGTTCCAATAGACTGAATATCCAAACCGTGAAGTAACTGAGACACATTGTTCTAATTCAACCTCAACCCAACTCGTGCTTTCTTAGTTCCTTCATGAGTGGGCATGTTTCTCATTATGCCACGCATTGTGTGTTCGCTGCAGGCTAGTTCACTGCAGGTTTGGAGGTTGCATACGCAGAAACCTGAATGTTTTCCACTAATAACTACAATTAATGAATGTTAATGATACAGAAACAACAGCTACACCACCCTAAAGAAGGCTGTTTGTGCATGTAATGTAACCCAGCTCCATCTTAACATGTACAACTTCATAATGAAAAAGTCATCGGATGAAAGCCTTTTAAACGTTATTGCTCGAAAATGCCCTTGGTCTTTCATCTTATCTGAACTTGTGTCTCCTGCAGTAAAAATGCCCCTTGATTACCCTTGTTTAAACTTTAGAGCACTGACAAAATAAGGGCCACTTTTGTGTGGAAATTGCATTCATACATAGCACATTTTAGCGGATGCTTCACTGTGTGTGTGTGTGTGTGTGTGTGTGTGTGTGTGTGTGTGTGTGGGTGTGTGTGTGTGTGTGTGTGTGTGGTGTGTGTGTGTGTGTGTGTGTGTGTGTGTGTGTGTGTGTGTGTGTGTGTGTGTGTGTGTGCGTGTGTGTGTGTGTTTATTCACTGGAGCTTTGTGTGTTTCAGAAAAAGAAGCAGGGGCTGATCATGGTGAACCTCCACAGCAAATTCATATCCTGCAGGGATGAAGCAAACATCTCTCATGTGGCTGGTGAGGCATCCATGTTGATTTTTATATTTTATACACATTAAATCTGCTTATTTGTTGGTTGATTTAATATTCCACTTGGGTTTCACAGACCATTTTGACCACATAAAGGAGGTGATTGGAGCTGCGTCAATAGGAGTTGGAGGGGACTATGAAGGGGCTGTGAGGTAAGATATGTTCACCTGTAAACACAACTTATAGAAAGCTAGGAGCTAAAAGTAGTTAAATATCTTCTATCAAATAACTACACTGAACAAAAATATAAACGCAACACTTTTGTTTTTGCTCCCATTTTTCATGAGATGAACTCAAAGATCTAAAACATTTTCTATATACACAAAATAACCATTTCTCTCAAATATTGTTCACAAATCTGAAAACATCTGTGATAGTGAGCACTTCTCCTTTGCCGAGATAACCCATCCCACCTCACAGGTGTGGCATATCAAGATGCTGATTAGACAGCATGATTATTGCACAGGTGTGCCTTAGGCTGGCCACAATAAAAGGCCACTCTGAAACGTGCAGTTTTGCTTTATTGGGGGGCAGAGATGGGGTCGTTACTAAAAAAAAGTAATATATTACATATTACTTTAAAAAAAAAAAAGTAATATATTACACTACTTCGTTACTCTCTACATAAAGTAACTCGTTACTTTACTCGTTACTTTACTCGCAGGGCCGGCCCGCCCCTCCCTACAGGCAGATCACGCAGACTGCGGCGCACCTACAGTGTGCGTGCCACAGTTTTGCCTCTGCGAGACTCCACTTGCACCCCCAATTACTATTGCATTAAGGAAGACATAACACAAGTCTTTCTTTTTATATGCTCTAAAATAGGCTACCAGCCTACCACAACAAGCTAACAGTCTGTGAAACGTCAAGACACTAATTAATGAAACCAGTTCAAGACGCATTATTCTTATCATTCTTTATGAGCGCAGTAACGGTAAGGTATCTAATTACTTATGTATTTAGTATTCCATAATTTAGTAACAGAGATGGTCAAACTAAAGTGGTAGAGACAGAATTCCTACAATGAAGCGGGACATTGAACTGTTCACCCGTGAAAGGGCGATCAACAAAAGAGAGCGAGCGGCCCCGTGAGGGAGTTTACAGATTACATTACATTACATTACATTACATTGCATTTAGCTGACGCTTTTATCCAAAGCGACTTACAATAAGTACATTCGACCAGGAAGACACAACCTTGAAGAAAACAGAATCATATAAGTACATCAGGTTTCATAGAGCCAAACATTTCAAGTGCTACTCCACTGGCTTTAGGTAAGCCAGTCCTTTATTGGTATAAAAGTGCTTTGTTAATAGTTCTATCGCTCGAAGTGGAGTCGAAAGAGATGAGTTTTCAGTTTGCGCCGGAAGATGTGCAAGCTATCTGCCGTCCTGATGTCAATGGGGAGCTCATTCCACCATCTTGGAGCCAGGACAGCAAACCCACGTGTTTTCGCCGATGGGAACTTGGGTCTCCCTCGCAGCGAGGGCGCAGCGAGTCGTTTGGCTGATGCAGAGCGTAGTGCACGCGCTGGGGTGTACGGTTTAACCATGTCCTGGATGTAGGAAGGGCCAGATCCATACGCAGCACGGTAAGCAAGTACCAGTGTCTTGAAGTGGATTCTAGCAGTTACCGGAAGCCAGTGAAGGGAGCGGAGGAGCGGAGTGGTGTGGGAGAATTTAGGAAGGTTGAAGACCAGACGAGCCGCTGCATTCTGGATGAGCTGCAGAGGTCGGATGGCACATGCAGGTAGACCAGCCAGGAGGGAGTTGCAGTAGTCTAGGCGTGAGATGACGAGAGCCTGGACCAGAACCTGAGTCGCTTTCTGGGTCAGCTGGGGACGTATCTTCCTGATGTTGTAAAGCGTGTATCTGCAGCAACGGGTTGTAGCAGCGATGTTTGCAGTGAAGGACAGGTTGTTATCTAGGGTCACACCCAGATTCCTTGCAGTCTGAGTCGGGGAAACAACAGAGGTGCCGATGTTGATTGTTAGGTCAAGAGTGGGACAATCTTTTCCCGGGAGGAAAAGCAGCTCAGTCTTGTCAAGGTTGAGCTTGAGGTGGTGAGCAGACATCCACTGAGAGATGTCAGCTAGACAAGCAGAGATGCGTGCGACGACCTGGGTCTCTGAGCGGGGAAAGACTCATCCATGTTTATGCAGCACTGCACATGGAGATGTGGTCTCGCAAGTCGCGCAGATTACATAGGCCTACATGTATATAAACCTGCGGCGGAAACCCCTCTAGTCTGTCAGTAAGTGTGATTATTTTATAAAAGTAAAGAAGTAACGCGTGTCGGGGCAATGTTAGTAACTATAGTGTGATTACTGAATTATAAAAGTAACGCGTTACACTACTCCGTTACCGACAAAAGTAATATTATTACAGTAACGCTTAGTTACTTTGTAACGCGTTACACCCAACTCTGTTGGGGGGGTCCAAAAACCAGTCAGTATCTGGTGTGACCACCATTTGCCTCACGCAGTGCAACACATCTCCTTCGCATAGAGTTGATCAGGTTGTTGATTGTGGCCTGTGGAATGTTGGTCCACTCCTCTTCAATGGCTGTGCCAAGTTGCTGGATATTGGCAGGAACTGGAACACGCTGTCGTATACGCCGATCCAGAGCATCCCAAACATGCTCAATGGGTGACATGTCCGGTGAGTATGCTGGCCATGCAAGAACTGGGATGTTTTCAGCCTCCAGGAATTGTGTACAGATCCTTGCAACATGGGGCCGTGCATTATCATGCTGCAACATGAGGTGATGGTCGTGGATGAATGGCACAACAATGGGCCTTAGGATCGCCTCACGGTATCTCTGTGCATTCACAATGCCATCAATAAAATGCACCTGTGTTCGTCGTCCATAACATACGCCTGCCCATACCATAACCCCACCACCACCATGGGCCACTCGATTCACAACATTGACATCAGAAAACCGCTCACCCACACGACGCCACACACACGCTGTCTGCCATCTGCCCTGAACAGTGAAAACCGGGATTCATCCGTGAAGAGAACACCTCTCCAACGTGCCAGACGCCATCGAATGTGAGCATTTGCCCACTCAAGTCGGTTACGACGACGACCGGAGTCAGGTCGAGACCCCGATGAGGACGACGAGCATGCAGATGAGCTTCCCTGAGACGGTTTCTGACAGTTTGTGCAGAAATTCTTTGGTTATGCAAACCGATTGTTGCAGCAGCTGTCCGAGTGGCTGGTCTCAGACGATCTTGGAGGTGAACATGCTGGATGTGGAGGTCCTGGGCTGGTGTGGTTACACGTGGTCTGCGGTTGTGAGGCCAGTTGGATGTACTGCCAAATTCTCTGAAACGCCTTTGGGGACGGCTTATGGTAGAGAAATGAACATTCAATTCACGGGCAACAGCTCTGGTGGACATTCCTGCTGTCAGCATGCCAATTGCACGCTCCCTCAAAACTTGCGACATCTGTGGCATTGTGCTGTGTGATAAAACTGAACATTTTAGAGTGGCCTTTTATTGTGGCCAGCCTAAGGCACACCTGTGCAATAATCATGCTGTCTAATCAGCATCTTGATATGCCACACCTGTGAGGTGGGATGGATTATCTCGGCAAAGGAGAAGTGCTCACTATCACAGAGTTTTTCAGATTTGTGAACAATATTTGAGAGAAATGGTTATTTTGTGTATATAGAAAATGTTTTAGATCTTTGAGTTCATCTCATGAAAAATGGGAGCAAAAACAAAAGTGTTGCGTTTATATTTTTGTTCAGTGTAGAATGAGTGGGGATCTTCAGAGACGTACATGCCGAGAAACCAAAATAAAACACAGCTAATGCTGATGCTAATGCCAGTACAGTGAGTGAACACTCTACAGATCAATATTGTGCTTTTGTTGCCTGTAATGATATCAGCACGTTGTCTGTCTCTGCTGTCAACAGGCTGAAAATCAATAACTTTGCACTTCTAACAGGCATAGAAATAGAGATGCTGCAGTATGTAATTTGTTTTGAGACATTCCTGTTTGGACTAGATTGTATCTGAATGCAAGGGGAAAGCAGATTCAATGCACCGTTCTGCAACAAACCTACTTTCCCCCTGCAGGCAGATACAATCTAGTCCAAACAGGAATGTCTCAAAACAAATGACATTGAAGGAATACATTAACAAGTGTTTATTGAATTACTCGTGTGATTATTATCTACTCATGATGGTATGCAATGTTATAAGCCAAAAGTGTCAGAATAAGTGGTTTCTTGGCAAAATAAGTATCCATGAATTAAAATGTGTTTTTCATCAACAGCTTTCCTCAAGGGTTAGAGGATGTGTCAAAGTATCCCGCCCTGATCCTGGAACTCCTTCAGAGGAACTGGACGGAGAGTGAGTTAGCTGATGTCCTTCGAAGGAACTTCCTGCGAGTGTTCGAGGAGGTCGAGAGGGTGAGCTACAGGAATACGAGATTGTGCTTCTAAAAACAGTCTTCCCTTACAAATGAAGGGTACATTTGCTCTCCATAATTGAGCCACAGGAGTGTTTTGCTACAGTATTATGGAGGCGTGTGGTGCAGTGGGTTGAGCGTTGGTGTTCGGATCAGAGGGTCACAGGTTCAAACCCCACTGCAGTCAGCATGTCGTTGTGTCCCTGGGACACTTCACCCCAAATTGCTCCTGGGGGGATTGCCCACAGTATTGAATATGTGAGTCGCTTTGGATAAAAGCATCTAACAAGTGACATGTAATGTAATACAAATAATGTATGCTTGGTAGAACATATGAAGAGTATGTGTTATTTAATTGGTCTCTAAACAAAATGTCACTATATGTATTGTATTTTCCCTAAAGTAAAGGGGCCATTTTTATGTCTTAGCTACCTTACTTCATGACATAGTATTCAAGTGTTTTTTTTACTTGTGTTTGAAATAACAATTTTAAATATAGCAATAGATTGATTGACCATCAAATATTGACTTATAGGCATCATTTATTATCCATGAAATGCTTTCTTTGCACTGCAAGTTTGAAATGATATATAAAACTAACAACACTTCAAAGATAAGTTCTAAAATGTACATGTTTTCTATCCTCCCTCTCTTGTGTCACTGCTTTTCCCACAGGTCCGTGATCAGTTGAAGAGCACCGGGCCCAGTGAGGTCCAGATCTCTGTGGAGGAGGTGCAGAACCCGTGCAGGCTGGTCCTCAGACCTCCGGACACGACAGGCCACTCTGACCGGAGCGGATCCTCCAGAGCCCGACAGGAACCAAAAGGTCTGCTGATGCTCTCCATCGGTCTGCTGCTCTCCAGCCTTCACATGATTCAATGAGTGCTTAGAAAGTTCAGCTGCAGCTAGATTTTTAAAGTGGATTATTTTTTAAATAATACATTTAAAAAAAGATACATTTGACATGTAACCCCATTTGGGGTTACACGTCAAATGTTAAAAACCACCTCTGTATAAAGTATATATATCTATAACTATACATTAATCATCATTCCTCTGAAAGGAACTCAGTTCGTTTTGGAGTCTATTTATTACATATTTAATTTGTTGCTGAATTTGTTTGGCTGACACCATCTCTATGAGATATAATAAGTGTGAATAATGACGCCGATCAATACAACTGCACAAATGCTACATTGGTGAGTTGTTTGCAATCTTTATTTTGAATGTTCAACTATTTATTGCTATAAAATTAAGTTATTTTAATAAGTGTTAGTACAGTACAGGGGGAGCAGTTTATAAATGCAAATGTTCTTATAGCATGATAAGATGTTTTGGAGATTTACAGGTTCTGTATTTTAAAGTGAGCTATACTACCCTATTGCCAATCAGAAAAAACTGTCATACATAGAAATGTATTTTCTATCTTCTACAATCTACACCATGTCCATGATGTTTTTGTTCACATAATCAATTTAATGTAATAGCTTTGCCAAACATAAATACTCTTAAATTATCTAAAATACTCCCAATATAATTAAAAAAGCATTATGTGCCAACATTTGAATTGCAAAAAAACACATTTGTATTGCTTGTCACATCCGGGCCCTGGCTGATCGCCTCACTCCCTCGCCTGGTGTGTTTTCCTTCCCTGTTAATCACCTGCCTGGCCTCAAGGAGCCTCAGCTGTCCCTAATCATTACTCCTCTCCTGTGGATTTAGTCTGTGCTGTTGCCTTGGTCAGTACCAGTTTCTCTTGTCTGTCTAGCAGGAAGTGCTCCAAGATACTCTCCTAAAGTAAGCTATAGTTTTAGCTGTTTAGCATTTGTACCAACTTAGTTGGTTGTTTTTCGTTGCTTCCAGACTGTAATTTTTTTTTATCTTTGCCTGTATTATTTTGCCTTTTGGATTAAACGCTTGACTAAAACCTTTTTTGCCTGGTTGTGCTCTTGAGTCTTATTTTTGCTCGTGCCTGTACTTGTGTTTGATATTGCTGGCAAGGGACATTGGTTTAAGTGGAATAATCAACTCCATCCTATGTAATGCTTTCCTTGGAAAAAGAGATATTTATTGAAGTGAAGGGAAGACCAGTAGAATTCCTAGCATTGTGTGGTTTATTTTTTATTATCTGCTTAATTGTCATGCTTGATCTGTTACATATAAAACACTCGGCTTGTACTGATTGTTTAGCCCACATAAAAATAAACAGTTGATTTCTAGACTGCTTGTCTGTAATACTGCTCGTACTTAGCTTCTTAGAAAATACAAATACACATTAAACAAAAAAGGGTCTCTTGGTGATCTGAAATTCTTTTTAAGTTTGTTGAAAAAAGTAAAAACGCAACAGTTCAAAAGTCATTCATAAACATCTCTCATATCAACAACACAAATATCTTTCCGACAAAAAGTCATAAATTATTACTCTTCAAAAACGTGTTTCATGATCTCTGCCTTACAGCACAACCAACGTCAAGCACTGCGTTCAATATCCACAGCAACATATGTAATACCTCAGTGGGGACATGTTGAAGAAATAAATAAATAAATAGAGTTGTGCTTCCAAGATAATCAAAGAGCTGTTTCAGAATAAAAAATCTGGCAAAGTATTTAAACAATTCTTCCAACTTGTGTTCTAATTAGGATAATAAGGATTATTATCGATATGAAGATGACTTTGTGACATAAATATGATTGATTTCCGTTTGAGAAAAACAGGATTTATGTGTAAAGAATGGCGATCGTGAGCAACAGGTAGATATGTGAACAAGTGTGTCCCAATATTCTACAAAAATTAAATAAAACCTTTGTACTCAAAAATCGGTACTTCACAATGAAAGTCAAATTCATGCCTGTACTGAGAAATGTTTGGCAGCAAAGCAGCTGCTGCCTCCTGTCCAGAGGTGGAATGTATTCTGATGAGTAGCAGCTAACCCTTGATCATGAGTAGATGGTGATAACTTCTCGACCTCCGCCTCGGACCAGCAGCACTCTTTCCAAGCCTTCAGTCAACACCTCCAGAAACTCCATATCTGAGGGACACGTTAAAGGAATAGACCAGACAAACAGCAGCCACTTTTTCTATGAAGCTTAAAAAAGCTTCTATGAAATTCAGCATGAACACTTTTATCATATTGGCGAAGGATACAGTTCTCATCTCCGTCTGTGTCTCGAGGTGGCCCCGGCATGTTGAGCAGCACTAACCGAGCATCATGGGACCTGTTGACGATCACCTCGTTCAGCTTCACAGCCGTGTGCATTCGCCGCACGTTGGACTGATCCCTGCAGCAAGGGGGAGAGAAGGAGAGCCGAATGGATTTGTGCGAATAACAAACTTTTTCTGACTATTTTAAAGCAAGATCTTACTGGGTCTAACAAAGACAAAAGGTGAAAACAAGGTAAAAGGTTGGCATTAAATACTACATCTTTTATAATGAGAGGCAGTTGTGATGCTAAAGCGACTCACGGTTTGAGGCTCATGAGTTCTCTGAAGTTCTCAGGTGCGTTTTTCCTGTTCCTCCTCTCAGCCTCACACTTCTCTCTTGTCCACGTCATCTGAACCTTCTCTGGAGGAGCCTCCACCACTTCCTCTTCCTCATCTGAGTATAGACTTCCCATTCGCACCAAAGAGTGTCTGTCCTTCACCAGCTGGGCCTGCATGCCATGGGAATGACACATGGACTAGTTGTCAATGAACTGTACGTGACTTAAATAGTTATTTATAGAATTGTACATCACAGGATTGCGCAAGATATTTCCGAAATGATTCCCAACATCAGAAAATGAAGGCTCAGGAGTTAGTTACGTATCATGCATGATACGTTTTTTGAATTTGTGAAATATATTAGAAATGAACATAAAAAACAACATACCTCTCTTTCTCTTTCTGCACTGGACAGCCTCATTTGTCTCAACATCTGCGACCTCTGCTCCATCATTAATGTTCGCTCGTAGGTGTATGCTGAGATGTCGCTGTCATGCTAAAGTGTATTATGCAAAACATAATTGTGGTTAATGCAACTTAATCACACTTTATGTGTCTGTTGCACACGGATTGAGTGAGCACGGAAGTTAAGTACATCCATTTTCATGTCAAGCAGTGATTTTTCTTTTTAAGCACCAGCATGTTTGTGGCAAAGGGCATCTGGTCTTAGTTGCAATTTTATCACCAAGTTCAATTCATGCTGGTCTTGTTGTTCCCATAAAAAGACGTATGCGAGTCTTTACTTGGATTCAGAGAAGTGGGTGTGTAAGAGAGATCCTCACCATCTCCACCACCTCCACTTCCGCCTCTATTCTCAGCTGGTATAGGAACGTGGCCAGATCTTTCTTCATCTGGATGCTGTTGTCCTCCATCTGGGCCACAGTGAAGATGCGCATGCAGCATTTCCTCCAAACCTAAAATACAGATACAACCATGTGGTATTTGACCATGGGTAAAATGGAATGAGTGTGACTATAATTACTCACAGAAACATATTTCAGAAATAAAAGTGGAAATATCTTGAAAAGTGAAAACAACTAAAACTAACAAAGACTATTCAAGGAGAGCATGTACGTGTTGAAGGTTTTAGAACTCCAAAGTAGCTCAAAGATAGCTGAGGTCTCACTTTATGCAGTTTGAGCAGGAAAGGCAGCAGCATTAGCATCCCGCCATCATGGACGATCCACCAAACGTCAATGTTGCCATCTGTGAAGCGTTCATGGTTGCTCGGGTAGAAGGACACATTTTTGGGCACCATCAGGGCGAGGTGAGCAGCTGTGGTGCAGCGGACTGTGTCTGAGGAGAGGAGGAAACATGGAGGCATGGATATTAACTGTACTGCATGAATTACTTTAGCTACAATGTACATTGTGTGCAAGCAAATGGAAACTAACACAAAATCTATTATAACATCCGCATTTCGTATTCAACAAGGCCATGCGAAAGGATTTATAGCAGTGTAAAAACAGCAGTGTAAAGAAAACAAATCACATGTCATTTAAATACATTTAGAAACAGTCATTCAAAAGCCAAGAGAGTACAAATTGAAATAAGCTAAAAATAGAATAAATGTAAAATGCATAATACAGTTTAAAATATAAATAGTTATTTGATTTAATAAAAGGCATTGGCAAAAACAAAACTGTTTATAAGTTAAAGTTTATAAGAGTGAAGCTTGTGTTAATTCAACAGCATGTTATACTTGTTAAGTGTTTTAGGTGTCATGTTGTGAGCAGTATTGCAGTGAGACTCTTACTGATGAAAGTCTTCCAGGCCCGAGGGTCCTCGCTCTGCCTCCAGCCGTACGGCCAGCCCATCATCACCGTGTTGTGCTTCATGCCCCCCAGACCACAGGACTGGATCAGGTGCATTATACCGTCCCGCACTTTAGAGGCCACCACGATCTGACAGAAGCCCTTCACCCGCTCAATCTCCATCATGTGCTTAATGGCCTGGCAGAAAAAATAACGTATGTCCATGATAACAAATAAAGAATTGACCAAATAAGCAGTTGACATACAAAATTGTTACATAATGCTATAAAAAAAAACATTAAAAAGTTAATATGTTTGACAGCTTTAAGTGCATGCCTTAAAATTGGAACCTGTATGGATTTAAATGGCACAAAAAAAACATGGTTCATCAATTCAAATTAAATTACAAGGTTTTAGATTGGATTAAAATAACTGTATTCATCCCAAATTGGGAAATTGTTTTTTTACAGCAGCATGTCAACAATGCATTGCACATAAGTTAAAATATTAACAAAATACCTGAGTATTCCCTGTGTAGCACAAACTATAGATAGATCCATGAATATTGGCTATAAGTAAATTAATGAGTGATTTATTTCCCCAGTGGTTGTCCCATTAACAGAAGCAAACTTTGCTTCTGTACAGATTAAAAAAATAACAAATAACAAATGTGAAAAACAGAATTAAAATACAGTATGTATCCACATTCATGATAATATTTATATATTCAACAAAAAAAGTCTTCATATTAATAATAATAATAAAAAATCATATGTGTCCGAAAGGGAGTAGGAAGAAGCAAATGCTTATTAATTTGCTTCACTTGTATACGGTTTTACAAGACACATTACATTATGAAAAATGTCCCTTATTTGAACTGTAATGCATCATTGGCACCATATTGTAGTTACAACCACAAGCTGTTTCCAGCCGTGTCCTTAGATTAAAGTGACAAATGCTAGAAAAATCTGAAAAATTGAAAATTCCCATTGAAGCATGTCTTCGCTCCATTGTGCTTTTCAATTTACAAAAGGTGGTCATTTGTAACAATTAGCTGCAACACAGTCAGCAGCACAGTACAATAGAGAACGGTGTGGAGCACGTGCAGCACACCCCTTCTAGTATTTACCTGCTCAGCTGCCTGCATTTCCCCATAGCTTTCCAGGAAGTTGCCCTGGACCACCGAGCCCACAATGGTCAGACCCTTTCCCGCCTTCAGCTGCGAGGCAAAGGTGAGCAGACGAGGGTATTTCACATGGAGGTCTTCATCCAGCTTCAGCAGCACCAGCAGCTGAGGTCTGAAAGTGTCAAAGAAGGTCAATATGAGTCAAAGGCCTGGATCAAATGTGTCAAATCAGATGTGTTTGGGCATCCTTGTTAAAAGATTGTGTTATTGAGACAAATTCACATTATTTACCGGTTGCCGTTGTGTTCATTAATACAAAAATAGTTTTGATTTTGATCAAATTGGACACTTTCAAGTTGTATTGTCAAGCAGATTTTCTGTGATTTGCTTTTCAAAACACATAGTGTAAACGATAAAGTGGGATAAAGGTGAACATATTTGAAAATGTGTTTATACATCCAGCTAACACATAACTGTTAATTCTATGGCAGTTAGAAGACACCATTTCCCTTTGAATGAGGTCCTAATGACATCAGAAATAAAGAAATGCAAATGTATATATTTCTATTT